TTCAGGCACTGGGACAGCTGCCCAGGGCAGGGGTGGGATCACCATCCCTGAAGGTGTTCAAAAGGCATGGGGATGTGGCCCTCAGGGACATGGTTAGTGGTGAACATGGCAATGCTGGATGAGCAGTTGGACTCAATGATCTTAGAAACCTTTTTCAACCCTAATGGTAGGTGCATTGAGGTGGACCTCACAGCCTGCTCACCTCTGAGTCTAACCCCTCTGTCCTGCTCTCAGGTTCACCCAAACACGCTTGGACAGAGGTCTGCTGGACCTGAGCAGCTGCCTGACTGTGGAGGACTGGTTGGATTCCATTCGGCTCGGGCACTACCGCGACAACTTCGCCATGGCTGGGTACTCCTCCCTCGGCATGGTCATGCGCATGAACATCGAGTGAGTGCCACACACAGCACTGCTTGGGGGCCAAAGGAGCCTACAAAGGTGCTGAAGGGCCTTGAGGGGAAGCCACATGAGGAGTGGCTGAGGCACTTGGTGTGCTCAGCTGGAGAAGAGCAGACTGAGCCCAGAGCTCATGGCTGGATCCAACTTGCTCCCGAGGGGCAGTGCAGGGGCAGCTCTGCCCTCTGCTCTCTGGGACAGGGACAGGAGCCAGGGAATGGCTGGAGCTGTGTCAGGGCAGGGTTAGGTTGGATATCAGGCAGAGGTTGTTCCCCCAGAGGTGTTTGGGCACTGAACAGCTCCCCAGGGCAGTGGTCACAGCCCCAAGGCTGACAGAGCTCCAGGAGTGTTTGGCCAATGCTCTCAGTACAGGGAGGATTGTTGGGGTGTCTGTGCAGAGTCAGGGGTTGGGCTAGATGATCCTCAAGGGTCCCTTCCAACTCTGTTTATTCTGTGATTCTGTCCCTGCACCAACCCACCAGCCCCAAACAGTGACCACCCTGCCTTAACTGCCTCAATCTAGTTGGTCCTTGGTGCCAGGGACACATCCCTAAAGAAATGGTGTTGAAACCTGGGATTGTGTCAAAGGCTGTGCTGGGCCTTGAGAGAAGGTGTGAGAGTTGTACTGAGCGAGTGTGAGTACCAAGTCACCTCCAGTGATCTGTGGTGGCTCTCCAATGTCATCATTGCCTGGAGAAGAGAAGGTTGTATGGAGACCTCAGAGTAACCTGCCAGGATGTGAAGAGGCTCCAGGGAAGCTGCAGAGGGACTCTGTGTTAGGAACTGCAGGGACAGGACAAGGAGGAATGGGTACAAATTGAAAGAGGGAAATTTAGGTTACTGTCTTGTGGTGTTTTTCACCTTTGTTTCCCCTGCAAAAGGCATCTCTGGAGCAGAGTGTGGCTGTGCCATACTGCACAGCTTCTCTAGGATCACTGGAAACCAACAGGGCACCTCAGAACTCCTTGAGACCCCTGTGCACAGTGCCTCCAGTGCAACCAGGCAGGGAGGCACCATCCAGGCCTCAGGGTGAATGGAAGGTCATGACCAAGTGACCAAGCCTGGGTTAAATAAGGAGAGCTGGAGAAGCTGTCCCACCACCCATCCTCCTGCCATAATGAGCTTGATCTCCCATCTGTGTAGGGAGTTTCCAAGGTGGAGCATCCAAGCAGTACCAGAAAAGCTGGCAACTGTACCTGCTCCTCCCCTTTTACCTGCTCCTACCATGGGCTGTCATCCCCCATTCCTTGCTGTAAATCAGTTCAGGACTGGAAAAAACCTCTTCTGCTTCTAAGGAGACTTGTTCCCTGTCAAAAGGCATGGAGCTGCCAGATGGTGGTTCCTGTGGCTCAGGAAAGAAGTGTCAGTGCACACCTTGGCAAAGGTGCAGCAGGTAGGAAGGAGGCAGTGAAAGAGAGGATGGAGAGACACAGACAAAGGACTGTCACGTGCATCGATCTGGGGCCTTTGCTGGGGGATTGAGCTGCTAGTGATCCTTGTTTCTCATGCACATCAAGGAAGCTTTAGAGTGGGGAAGGCTCATCATGCATCTGTCTCTCTGACTGAGTTATCTGAGGGCATCTCACTAAAACTGAAGCCAATTTCAGAGCATCAAACTTGTCACCTACCAACCTGTCAGCAGTGAGCCCCCTCCTGCTCCTGCTGCCCCCAGGGCAGGAGAATGTGCCCAAGAGAATGGCAGCCTTGCTGTCCCTGGGAGGATGCCCATGGACCCTCAGCAGTTCCAGCCTTATTTTGATGGGAAAGTGGAGAGGAACCAGGCAGGGGGTCCTGGGCTGGTCCATGGGGTGCAGTTGTCTCCCTGGAGCCAGGCAGAGGGTTCCTGGGCTGGTCCATGGGGTGCAGTTGTCTCCCTGGGACCAGGCCCAGGTCTCTTTGTCTGTCAGTGTCTTTGTTCTCCAGGGACGTTCGGAGTCTGGGCATCACCATGATGGGCCACCAGAAGAAGATCTTGAGCAGCATCCAGGCCATGAGATCCCAACTGCTGAACACAAACGGCCCCAGGAGGCATCTCTGAGCAGCAGCTCTGCAGACCCATATCAGGCATTCCTTAACACTTACCCTGGTGAAGGGGCAGCAGGGTGGTGAGCAGGAAAAGGGGCACCAGACCAAGAGCATCTCTTTGATTTCAGCAGTGGTGGAAATGTGGCATTCCAGATACCTCGGTGGTCCTGCTGCCTCCTTTGCCCACCTGGAGGGGGGAGCAGCCTTCCAAGTGGGCTAGGGACACCTCATGCCTCTCTACATCCTTTACTGCATCCCTGTGGGACTGGGGGTCTCCACACAACTCTGCAGGACAGGTGGAAACCCCTTCCCACAGTGAGATGGCCCCAGCTGCACCTGCAGTGGAGGGTATGAGACACATCAGCAATAGCAGGAGCAGTGGGACATGGCACACAGCTCCTTTGGATGGGACAGCTGGGGAGCTGGTTGGATCTCTGAACTGAGCAGGGCTCCACAGGCTCCCTCAGAGCAGACAGCCCTGATCCCAGTATCTCCCAGTACACTCCAGCCTGCACCTTCTGAACTGCACCAGCCTGCAGGTGACTTCATGGGCCACCTCTACCAAGCACAGGAGGGCAGAGGACAAAGTGGCAGTGCCAGGAGCAGCTAGTTCTCCCTGCAGAGGAGACTTCCCAGCATGGAGGACTACCTGGAGCCTCAAGAAGCCTTGGAGTGCTGCAGGACACTCTCCAACTCTTCAACCCACCAGCACTGCTCCTCCTTGGATCCAGCACAGCCACCCAGGGCAGCCCAGGCACATTCTCTAGGGCCACCAGCTCAGGTTTCTCCACCAGCAGAACCATCCTGGCCTTCCCCAGAGCAGAGAGGTGTGGGAGAGTGTGCTCTCATCTCACATGATGGAGGGACAGAGAAACTTCTGCCAAACTCTTCTTTGTTCTTCTATTGCCCTAGAGAACCCCAAGAGCTGTGCCATCACCAGAGTGACTGTGCCCAGAGCTGCAGAGGAGGCTCCTGCCAGCACTTCCAGCTGCTGTGGCTGGGAACAGAGGCTCTGGGCATGGAGGATCTCCAGCACAACCAGCTGCTGAGCACTGGAAGGGTGACCACAGCCCCTTCTCCTCCACAGGAGCATCTCTCTGGGCCAGTTTGCCTGGTGCCTCAGTGGCCTCTGAAGGCATGTGGAGCTGCTCCAAGAAGCTGAGCTGCCTGCAGAGATGCAGCTGTGCTGGGAAGAGGGGACAGGCTGTGGGCTGGGAGGTTTCTTCTGGGTGTAAATACAATTTTCTATGGGTTTGGGAACTGTTTTACTGAAGTAGGGATGTTAAGTACACAGAGGTGGTCTCAAAGCACAGAAGCCTCAGCTGTGGGGCTGAACTCACTGCAAAAAAAAAAAAACCCTGCTGGGAGCATGGCTGGGGAGGAGCTGCTGGAGAGGGGATGGGCTGGAGGGGAGCCACACTCACTGCCAGGGCTCAGCCTGGCCCACTGCACCCTGTCCTTAGCACTGGCACAGCAAACCCAGCATCACTCCAATGCAGGGACTGGGAGGACCTGGCCCGAGGGTTGTTCCTTCCAGAGCTGTTTGGGCACAAGGGGAGGGTGGGGGGTGGGCTAAAGCCATTTCTCAGCTGCAATAATCCTGGCTAAACTAGCCTTTCCGGGGGCTGGCTTAGCTTTCCATGCAGGGCACTGATGTCCTGCTGGATTCTCATGACTGTGGTGGGCACTTTACTTCTTCCTATGGAAGCTTTTTGTACTGGGGGACAGATGCAATGTGTTGGTTCATTTGTATTGCACCCTGTGTCCTGCACTCAGCCCTGTCACACTCCCTCCCTGCAGCCAGCACAGCACAGAGCTCAGCCCAAGCCCTGCAGAGCACACAGGGCAGTGGTGCTGCCCAGGCCTTCTCTCCCCAACAACTGGGACTCACTGAAGGGTGAGTCTGTCATGGACACACTAGGGAGAGCAGAGCTCAGGCCAGTGCCACACACCTGTGTCCTTGGGGTCTGCTGGGCAACCCATGCCAGGTGGGCTGTAGGATCTGAGGCTGGGAGCTGCCAGGTGGCCCCTTTCCAGGTGGTTCATGAGTCAGATCCTGCAGCCTGAGGCTCTGGGCTTCTCCTGGCTGCGGGGATGGAGGGGCAGGCTTTGCCTTTGATGTTCAGAGTGTGCACTTCCTCCTGGACAATAAAAATCCTTCTTCCCATCATCCATCTCCTTGCCTCTTATTGGCCCTGGGCTGCCCTGAGCTGCCATCACTTGTAGAATCACAGAACCAGTTAGGTTGGCCACTTCTACTGGAGACCATGAGGATCACACCCAGGGCATCCCCCTGCTCACAGTTCCCAGGGATATGAGGCACAGCTGGATCAGATGTGTTTCCAGACTTTCTGCACTGCTCCATGTCCCCAAAGCTGAGCTCCACCACAGGCAGTGTGTGTCCTGTCCAGGCAGGCTGGGGGCAGGGATGTCACCCAGGGATCCTGAGGGCTGAGAGAGGAACTGACTCTGCAGGAAACCCCTTGGGGAGAAGACTTAGGGAGCTTGTCCAAAGCAAGGGACTGATCAAGAGGCAAACTCCAGCAGAAGACTTAAGGAGCTTGTCCAAAGGAAGGGACTGATCAAGAGGCAAACTCCAGCTGAAGGGGCTCCAGGGAAGCTGCAGAGGGACTCTTGGTTAGGAGCTGCAGTGACAGGACAAGGAGGAATGGGGAGAAATTGAAAGAGGGAAATTGAGGTTAGATCTCAGGAATAAGCTTTCCCTGTGAGGGTGGTGAGACACTGTCCCAGGTTGCCCAGGGAGGCTGTGGCTGCCCCAACCCTGGCAGTGTTCACAGCCAGGTTGGCTAAAGCCTTGAGCAACCTGCTCTGGTGGGAGGTGTCCCTGCCCAGGGCAGGGGGTTGGCACTGGATGATCTCTAAACTCCATTCCAACCCCTTAACATTCTATGATTCTCTGGCTCACATGACAGCACAAAACCCCTTCCTGTATCAGGATTTTCACACCTTCCTAACTGTCCCCCCAGGAAACTTTTATCCCAGCTCACCTCATGGGGAACTGGGCTTTCCCTAGTAAAGCAGCTTTGCTTTTCTCCTTGCCCCCAACATTCCCCTAAGCTTCCAACAACTCGTTTCAGAAGCATTTCCTTCCCAGCTGCCCAAGCCCAGTTTGGCTGTGTGATGAGCAAGTGAGGCTCTGCGAGCTGTGTGTGCCTGGAGGTGGCAGTCTGGACCTGCAGAGCACCTGCAGAGCCCTGCATGAAGCTTCAGCTCTGCACCTACACTGTGCTGGTGCCAGCCCTGAGCAGGTTTGCAGGGGTCAGATGTGCTCCTTGGCTGGCAGGAGCAGATGGTGAACTCTGCTTTGGATTCACTGATATCATTCCTGTCTGATCACATACCAGCTCAGCCTGCCAAGCCAGGCTGTATTCCCAAACCACCTTCCCTCTCTGCTTTTAGCAGAGTCGTTTAGCATCATGTCCAAGCAAATTACTCAGGGTAATCTGATGTAAAATAGAAACATCAGCCTCAGCTGCTGCTTTAACCCTTGGAAGGATTAGGGGTTAAATTCTGGGTGGGGTTTGAAGTAGCCCAAAGGTCATGTCTTGGGAATCACCAGCAAGGAGTGAGAGACCAGCACAGCTCAGCCCAGGACGATCAGGGATGACAGAAGTGCCTGCTCTGGACCAGGCCAACATCTCCCCACCCTGAGCCAACCAGGCCCAGCGAGGGCTGAGCCTGGGCTGAGAAACCCTGACTGGTGCTGCAGGGCTGGGAAGGGGCTCTCTCCATTGAGTGTAGCAGGGAACCAGGACTGAGCAATCTGATTTAACCTCCAGTTATGTGATGTGACATGTATCCCATGTCTGCACCCAGGGCAGTGCCACCATGGGATACAACCTGTGGAGAGGCAGGAGGGGATGGAGAGGGAGAAGGAGATGGAGATGCAAGAGATGACAGAAAGCCAGGAGGAGATGGAGAGGTAGAAGGAGATGGGGAAGAAGGAGGTGATGGAGATGCAGGAGGAAATGGAGATGCAGGAGGTGATGGAGAGGCAGGAGGTGATGGAGAGGCAGAAGGACATGGAGATGCAGGAAGAGAAGGAGAGGCAGGAGGGGATGGATTGGGAGAAACTGGGAAGGGACTGGGATGGACTGGGAGAGAATTGGGAGGGACTGGGGTGGGTTTAGGTAGTGATGGAGATGCAGGAAGACATAGGCAGGAGGAGATGACAGAGGCAGAGGGAGATGCAGGCAGAAGTAAATGGAGATGCAGGAGGAGATGAAGAGGCAGAAGATGGAGATGCAGGGGGAGATGGAGGCAGAAGGAGGTGGAGAGGCAGGAGGAGATGACAGAAAGACAGGAGATGACAGAGAGACAGGAGATGACAGAGTTTCAGGGGATGGCAAAGAGGCAGGAGATGACAGAGAGGCAGGAGCAGCAGGCTTACACTCCCTGCCCAGCAGGACTGACCACATCCCGCATGGATATCCTGCAGGGAGGGCTGAAACCTCATTTCCTGCCCAACTCCTCTAAACTGGTATGAAAAGCTGAGGTTCTCATTACAATTCCTTTATTTCTCTCCCCTCAGAGCTGCAGTGAAGGGTCAGCAGCACTTATGAAATTTTCAATTCTCGCAGGTTTTGAATTTACATGTTTTTTTCTGTGTCTGAGCTGCAAGAAGATTATGAATAAAAGATTAAAATTGGAGGTCTCCAATCATTTAAGAGCAATGCAATGAGCAGTTATTCCAGGAAGGAGCAGGAGCCAAACACTGCCACATGCATACCAAAAATGAGTAGCAAACTTCAAACGGGGCCTAAACAAAAGGCTCTGCTCTTTGAGGAGACATTGCTGGGGAGTGGGGAGGGACAAAACTGGGCACCTGGAAATCTCTGGGGGCTCATGGACTCAGGAGCTGAGCAACAGCCTCCTTGACTGCCAGTGCTTCAGAGGAGAGATGAGTCCTGCAGGCTTTGGTGATACTTTTCCATCACTGAGAGGTGTGAGCATAGTACAGGAGCACCTTGTGCAAGGGATGGAGCTCTTCAG